TATCCCACGTGTAAAAAAATTTCCACATGGCACACAATGAATGGAAGGGTCCTTATATGATGTGGAGTTCTAGGACCATTGGATAATTTCTCATGATTTTGTCCAACATGCAACTGTGCTAATTCATCCGGATAGGGTTAGTCCAGACTGGCAGTTCCCTTGAAACTAGTACCCATATTTTTAAATAACAGTCACCTTGAAAAAAAAAAATGATTGCAATTTATGGTTAATAAATTTATTTTAATTTATATATGTTTAACAGTTTTACTAATTAAATGAATTAATAAATAATAACGTCTCTAATAGTTTAATATTGTAAAATAATAATTGAATTTATTATAAAATAATAATTAATAACACTTCTAATAAATTAATATCACATAACAAATAATAAAAAATATTATAATTTCAATATACACATTATAAAATATTTATTTTCAAAAAAATCATCGTACATGATAAATAATATTTAACTTTTGTTTGTTGATGTTTTGATTCTTTTCCAACAAAATTATAACTAATTATGTTGTCCTTCCCCCAAATCTAATTGCCAAGTTGATGATCCAATTTTTTAAAATGTTGTCAATTTGAAATGGATTAGTTTGATGAGATATCATATGACTAATAAGATATATAATCATATACTTTTGAGTATGCTTAACATAATATATTTTATTTCAGAAAATATTTGTTTCATCAATGTTTTCATGATGTAAATTTATTTTTTATTTTTAAAATAAAAAGGAAAAAAATTGAAAAATAACTCAAAATTGAAAAAAAAAACCCAAATAATAACTTTTTAAAACAAGAAGAACCAACCAATTTATGTTTTAAAACTAAAAGGAACTAATTTACAATTTACTAAATTAAAGCCTGCATTTGCTTTCCAAGCCTTTGACTTGTGCACGCAAGACAATACAGAGTGATACAAAAATTAGAATAATAAAGATTAAATTATGCATTAGTCTTCTCAGTTTTGATGAATAAATAAATTAATCTTTAATTTTTTAAAAATTAAGTATTTAAACTTTTAATTCATATTGATCATGTTTAATGTAATATATTTTATTCTAAAAATTTTTTTTTCATGATATAAATTTATTTTTATATTTTTTAAAATAAAAAAATAATTAAATCATTGGTTTTTGAAATAAAAATAACTAGCTATATTATTATTTCAAAATAAATTTATAATTTATTCAATCATAGCTTGCAAATAGTATTTGATTCTTATTCTCTAAAAAGAATCATGTGGGCTGCAAATGGGGTCTTTGGTCTCTGTCTCGGCTGAATTACAGCCGTTGAAATGGTTTTATATATATGTGCGTGTAATGCTAGAATATAGGTAATGTTGTTATTAGTATAAAATAGTGTGGGGACACCCGTAATACCAAATATTGATAACGAAGTACCCTATTATCATTATATAATGATTGCTAACAGTTATTTTTTAAAATTATGCTTGTTACTATTATACAACGATCAATGATCATTACATAACGTGTTAGTACATGCATTTTCAATAAAAGAAAGTTAATCCTTACCGGTTAATTCCATACTTAAGACCGACACAAATATCTCAATCAATTACTCCCAAGCAATCAAATTAATGACAGGATTTCTATCTAATATCACTAACTTGGGTGTAAATAAACTTCATCAACACCACCATTTATGTTCTCTAGACAATACTAGGCTATGTGAAGGTAAATCTTAATGATGAGATTACAAATTCTCTCTTCTGTACAGCTCATAAAAAAACAATTTGTTCCCATGGTGGGGACTTTCATATTCAACGGCATTGATCAAGGGTCTCAATTATTGGCACTGTAAAAATGCTTTGCAGGAACAGGCAAGCTCTTGCCTTCCCTGTAGTGCAACTACTTGACAATCAAAATTTCTGTTAAGACTTAATACTCACCCTTTTGGTTTCTAATGGCAGATCACCACGTCATAGGATGGAGCAGTAGACCTTTTGCAGTTAAAGAGCTTTATCATTCAAAGGAGGCATTCTTTACATTGTTGAGAGACGGGGGAAGGCAGAGAGTTCTGGTGATATTCAAGTTTTGTAAATGTATAACTTCGCTTAGAAAGAAATTGAAAATGGTATAAAAGAAAATGAAAGGTAATTGGAAAAATTCTCACCTTTGGTCAAAGAGGGCAACAGAGGTAACTTGAATGACGAGGGGGGTTCATCCTCTCTGCCTTGCCCTTTTACAATATATACATATATTTTCTTTTCTTTTTCTGTTGTTGTCCACTTCTGTAAGGGATTCCTCATGGAAGCCTCCTCTAATCAGGCTTCCGCCAGCACTGCGTAAATAGCAAGTTGTACCAAAATCCACTTTGTTAAGACTTACAGCAGTTACCTGGGAGTCTTACCCGAATGATGCCAAGGCAAAATATCCTTATGACTCCTTCTCTTGTCCTTCTTTTAAGGAAGAAAGGACCACTCATTCGTCAAAATCAAGTCTGATTTTTTCTAAATCTAGAAAACTCACTAAAATAGAAACGATCAAAAACTAATAATAACGATACCAATTGCAGAATTTATGTTTTTATTTTTACTATCTTTGATTTCGATAGCTCAACTACATTGGTCCGTGTTTTTCACTCGTGAACATCCTGGATCAATTTAGCAGCGCTCTGACACGCCATATACAAACAGAAAATATAGCATGCACTAAGCCACAGTATAGTAAATTACTGTTTAAATCAGCAGTGAATCACTGTTCCTTTATCCTTAGATAGTAGGTGATTACCCTAGCACTTGTTTCCTCCCATTCCTTCCCCGTATCCATATTACCATGCTCTCTAAACTCCCAACTGCTTTCTTCCAATCATTCACTAATACTAACTCAAGCATCATAAGTAGGGGTGAGCATTCGGTTAAACGGTTCGATTTTATACGATTCGGTTCGATTTTTGGTTAATCGAATTAAAAAAATAAAAACCATAACCGAACCGAAATAAATTCAGTAAATTCGGTTTGTAACCGAATTATTTCGGTTTGGTTTTGAAATATTTCAGTTTTAACCAAAATATTTTGTTGTAAATAAAAAAAATCATTACGAGAGATTTTTTGTACTAGCACTTAGTCCACTAGCCAATAAAGTAACATCTTGTTATCAATTAATCCTTTTTATAAACAATCATAAAGCCCTTGAAGATTTTAATTAAACTTTAATGAAAACGAGTCCAAGTATAATAAATTTGCTTATACAAACACGTTGTATCCTAATTAATTACACTATATCACTTTCTTTTCTTACCACAACGGTCCTCAAAATTTACTTCCTATCTGCGTGTTTCAATTTCAATAAGAATGCAGATTGAAAAGTTAGGGATTTAGAAATTAGGAAATTTTTTACTATTTATTTCGATTTTCGGTCGAAACCGAAATTTAAAAAAAAAAAAAAAACGAACCGAACCAATAATTCAATTTCGGTTTTTTCAGTTTGGTTTTATATTGTATAATTTTATATTTAAAACCGAACCAAATTTCATAATTCGATTCGATTTTATTCAGTTTTCGGTTAACCAAACCGTTTACTCACCCCTAATCATAAGTTCCTCTTCACATGGTCCCGATCCTTGCATATTGCGAGAGATGGCATTCCAACTCAGCTAGGAGACTCAAGAGTAAGAGTGGACTCTTCAAAAAGAAACAAGAAAAACCACTTAATGTGAATTTATTCTTGAATGCGGCTAGGAAACTAACTTTAAATAGCAGGTGAACACATGATTAAAGCATCCAGGAAAAAAAAAGCTTTACTGAAAGAAGAACCGCACAGAAAGGCATCTGATAAACTCTTCAGGTGAGTTTACTGCAGCATTTACGCACAAGAAACGGTCATCACTTTCTTTGAAGACCTGTGAATTATTTCAAAATCAATCTAGAAGCAGTACTGTTTGATGTAGTAGGAACCAGGGAACCCAGAGACAATATCTGCATGAAGGGCCAACCAAGGCAAGGAGCCTAAGCTAGATGTGGATACTTCAATATTTACTTTAGAAGTTTAAACCTCAGATTTTGGGGTTTGGAAAGTACTAAATAGTGAAGAAAACATGGCCCAAGAGAAATGGGCACAATAGATTCTGACTATCAATCCCATTGCTTGCAGCAGTACCTAGATCTCGAGATTCAGCTTGTGGGGACAAACAAGGACTGTATGACTCGCAGTTTATAGAAGACTTGTGAGAGAACCCCCGAGTGGTGGAATCGTATTTAGTTTATCACAGGGATTAGATATCAAAAACATGACTTTTAGCCTATAAAATCATTTTTTTCCTTTCCTGCAAATCTTGTTTTATGCAAATGATGATTGAGACAACAACTTGTAACAGAGACATCAACAACTACTTCTGCGTCCAAAACTGCGACGCAGTAATTAAAAATAACGATAGTCCAAAACTTGTAACAGAGGCAGTCATTATATGGTTACCTCTATTCCAATAAAATGATGGAAATTCCACAAGTCCTCATTTGTTATGGTATCCAATGTCTAGACGCAACAGCAAAAAATTAAACAAGTTCTTTAAGAAGCTTGTTCTCGTGAATATAACAAATCTAATTTCATAAGATGTTGCCTTCCATAATCGAACTATAGCATCTCAACAACTAAATCACAAGACAAAAACTAGATCCATCAAGCAACTTCAAGGACACATAGACAAAATATAAAAGCTTGCTAAGGGCATAATAAAACATAGCAAAATTCTGCGCAAAGCCTTCCATGTCTCTAAACCAAGTTTCCTAGTTTCTAAGATAACAAAACGAAAGAGGGGGAGAACAGCATTCACAAACCCACATTTCCACAAATATCATATGCCAACCAGAATTATCATTACCAGTAAACAATAAGTTTCAAAAGAAGATATTGCAAACATCATAACCTCAACCTTCATCATTGTAAATCGTAATAATCCAAACACTCATAACAGGAACTAGTCCATATAGTAATATCAATTATTCCTTACACGTCAATAAAGTTACCAGTCTAATTTGAAGAAGCCAGATTCTGAAGAGAAACATTATTAAGCCTTTCCAAAGCCAAAATAAGAGCTTGAGTACCTAAATTCCCTTCACCATGAGCCTTAAGAGACAAATAAAGCTGTTGGGCCAAAGCCAATCCTGGCAAAGCAAGTCCCATATTTTGACACTCCTTCAAACAAATCCCTAAGTCTTTCACAAAATGATTTACATAAAACCCAGCTTCAAAATCCCTCTTTAAAATTCTACTCCCATACAAATCAAGTGACTTTGACCCTGCAGCCCCAGTTGAAATTGCATTTAAATAAGATTCAACATTTAATCCAGCTTTATGTGCATAAATAATTCCCTCTACTAACCCAACCATTGCTGATGCTATTGTTATCTGATTTGCCAATTTTGCAAATTGCCCTTTCCCAGTGCCACCCATGTAATTAACCTTTCCCAAGAGGGCGAATAGGGGATTTAGCCGGTCGATGACTGATTTATCTCCTCCAGCGAAAATCGCGAGGGTTCCGTTCTTGGCCCCCCGGTCGCCGCCAGATACTGGGGCGTCGACGGAGTGGCAGCCCTTGTTTATGGCGGCTGAGGAGATCTCGGCGGCGAGGGAGGGATCAGAGGTGGTCATGTCGACGAGGACGCCGCCCGGGCGGAGTCCTGGGAGGGCGCCGGAAGTGGAGTCGAGGAGGACGCTGCGAACGTCGGAGGGAAAGCCGACGATGGAGAAGACGACGTCAGATTGGGAAGCGACGGCGAGAGGTGATTGAGCCAGGTTGGCTCCCATGTCGATCAAAGGTTGGGCCTTGGAGAGGGTTCGGTTGAAGACGGTGACTTTGTAGCCTGCTTTGATTAGGTGGCCGCACATAGAGCAGCCCATTACACCAGTGCCGATCCAGCCCACGCTTGTGATTGATGGGCTTATGGGCTCTGCGGCGGTGGCCATGGTGCGGTGGAGGAGCAGGAGAGAAGAAAGGAGGAGGTTTTGAGAGTTAGAGGGACGAGAACAGGAGCGAATTAGGCGTGAGAGTCGCATGTCCTCGAATTCGAGTATTTCTATATGTAGTTGTGGTGGTTGTTTGGTTTGGGGGCTTTTCGGACAGGACAGCTTTATTTTGTCTTTGCCTATACGTCATGTATATGGTTGGAGTCAAATGGATTGGAATGGTTGTTCTGTTCTGAATATTAGCAGAGAAAAGGCTAGTGCTGAAAATAAGTTCATACTATAACCATGTCTCCTCCACGCCTGATTAGAGATTGAAGTTAGGTTGAACCTAAGCAAGAGTTGCCATCCACATCACATAATACGCCATGGAACCAAACCAAGTATTTCCAGCTTGTTGCAACTCAATTTTTGACCTCCTATTTTTATTTAAAAAAAAAATTGAAACATTTTTCTCATTTATTCAGTTTTTCAAATTTTAGCTTTTAATGAATTTTATTGTTTTCGTACATTTCGAGTGAGAAAAGCTGATGGTAAAAAATGACCAGAAAGGAAAAAAAAAACAAAGCATAAAAAAATCAACAAAGAAAACAGTGAAAATAATAATAATAATAATAAGTTGAAAAGAAACAAAGAAAAAGAGAGAAAAAAATAAAATTTTTAGATTATCCAGACAATGTTTAATTTGGCCTAATCCTATTCTTATGATTGATCATGTACAAATAAAGGATAAAAATACCCAACCAAGTTAAACTTAATTAATCTAGAATATAAATACAAGAGGTAAAAAAAAAATCAAATGAGGGATTTAATAGGGAAAAAAAACATAAAAGATAAAAACAAAAACAACTTCTCTCTCTCACTCATTTGGACAAACTCATTTCTAGCAAAAAAAAAAAAAAAAAAAAAAAAACCTAACTCGACAATCTCTTTTCTTGTTTAGAAAACCACCACATTTGTTCACACTCACAACTAAATAACAATGCAAACTAACACATTAACACTTTAGCTATCTTCCTCAACATGCAATGGTGAAGAAAATCAAACAAGAACAACCTCTTGGCCTAGTGCGCTTCTAGGTTGTCTAAGCCCACCTCTCTTTTTTTCTTTTTTCTTTTTTTCCGTTGATTTTTTATTTCTTTTTCCCTTTTATATTTATTATTCTTCTTTTTTATTTTCTTTATTTTTGTTTTCTTTCATCTTATTATTATTATTATTATTATTTTGTATATGGTAAAAAATAAGGGATGACACAAGTCGTTTCAAATATATAGTTGTTAGTTCTCATCTTTTTAAATCCATGACCGTTGTGTAACACTCGAAATTTTCTTCTTCATATTTTGCACGTGTATTCTTCTCTCTCTCTCTCTCTCTCTCTCTAACTTCGACCCTCTCACCTCCTCTCCACCATCTATCACCTATTTCTAACCTATTTCACTACCAAAAAACATTAGATTATGCTAGTATTTAATGATCTAAGTTGATATTAAATAAGATTGAAGCTTGAAGACTTGCTTGTTCTTAAACTAGAAATTCGTACCCACAAAGAAAAGTATAACTTCTACTATAACTTTTGGTTATTTGATGTATTCTTAGATGATTATTGATGATTATAAGGTTAGATTATGATGGGTTTGTCATTTGAGTTAAGATTGACGAAGCTAGAATTTTGAGACTCATTTGAGAAAAATATGATTTAAGTGATTTTAATCGGCTAGATTATGATTAATTGTCTTGGGTTAATGATTTATGAAGTAAATTTAGAGTTTAATTGATTGGATTTTATTATATGAATTATTTTAGAATTTAACTAATTGAGATATTGTAGATGTAAGATATTATAGAGTTTAGATTGAGCTGAAATTTCGGTATGTGGTTTATGAAAGTGCTCTTGTGATAATAAAATATTTTGAAAAGATTAAAGATGATGAATAGTAAAATAAATTTTGAGATTTATTAATTAATTATTGAGTAGGAATTTATTTGTGAGTTTATTGATTTAAGTAGAAGATTACTATGAATTTTTTTAATGATAGGAGTTAAATTGCTTGAAGAAGATAATTGTTGAATTGAAAAAGAACTAAGGTAAGCATGGTCCAACTCATTATAATGACTTTATGTGTGAATGTATTATATGATTAATCGAGTTTTTAGATGCATTTTTATGTGTATTTACATCACGAGTATAGATTTATATATTTCATAAAATGCATTGAAATCATGTTATCCACAAAAGCCAAAGGTTTTGGTAAAGGTATAGTTTTGGTAAAGAAAAAGAGGACTAAACATAACGTCTAGTGGGATACGCGCATGAAGAAAAATATATTCACATACATCATGAAAATTTATAAAATGACATGCATAACTATGATTATTGGGCATTAATTTTTGGTTTGTCTTATAGTGTAGGTGAGGATCTTTTGGCTCATGAGGCCTCTATAAATGTTGACGATGCAACTAGTATACTTTGAGCAAACTCTTGTAAAGGGATTAGACTTTTGTCTCTTTGGCTAGTTGGTTGTTTATTTTTAAGTGGTAACTTAAAATTTACTATGTATTTAGCTTTATGATCTTTTGCTAGTTGTTCATTTGATTTTTAATGTTCAAATTTGAAGTTCTAACATGTATATAGTTTTATGTTTTAATAAATATGTTTAGTTATGAATTGTGTTAAAAAATTTGAGATTTCATATTTTATATAGTAAGTTATAATCCTATAGTGAAATGTTAGGATTTTAGCTATTATATTTGGATTTTATTTGAGATGGATTTTATTTACATGTTAGGATTTTTACTCTATATTTGAGTTGACTCGTGTTTTGTGGTTAGCATCCTCCCACTTGCAATGTAATAATGTATAGGTCTAGGTGTAGGATGCGACGAGTGGTATTAGAGCAAGGTGTAGTCGGTTCTATAGATTTAGATAGTACACAAGAGTTTAAGGCCCAAAAACATCATCAACGTGTAAGTGTTTATGTTACTTTATGTCAATTAATCTTGTTTATTTTATATTATGTCAAATATTTTATTTATTTTACATTATGTGAATTATTTTTGTTTATTATATGTTATAGGAATTATTTGTTAAATTAGGCTTATTTTTGTTGATTATTTGTTTGGAATTTGCTACTTGTGTTATAAATTATGATTAGATTTAGTGAACCGATGGTGCTTAATTATGTGTGCATGAGATTGATAAGTACCGATTACGTTTGTGATTATGCGACCGGGTCGGACTCCCGCCAATAAGAAATTTTATTAAAGATAGACTAGGAAATCAAGCTATTATCGAGGTAGAGAATAATGGGTTGATGATGCAATAAATAATGGATTTACTACACCAATAGCAAGTTATGATGTGACAATAATAAGAAAGACATGATGAGCATATAAGGGCATTTCTTTTTCACCATCATTGCCTCTGCACCGTAATCACTTGGTCAAAGAGGCTCGGTATCTATGGAATAGTTTATATCATACATCCTAGGTCAAACCATGATCGGGTAAAGGCTATACAACTTGATGAAAATATTGCTGACAAGTTGGTATTCACGTTGACGATTTCGGGGTGTTTTGAGACCAAAGCATATAGGGATTTTTATCACCGACAAGCACCTTCGGGTTAATTAGGCAAATCAAGTATGAAGAAGTTACATTCTTTTTAGAGTTTGAGGGTTTATCTAGAAATGGATACACAAGACAATCTCAATTGATTCCTAAATAAAGGACCTAAAACTCTATAACATACTCAACTTAGGACCTAAAGTAGGTCGCGAATGCTAGTGGTAATGCCTTACATTCGAAGTGCAATGAATGCGAGACACTAAGCCTCTCGTCCTCTTCTTAGAATATAAATAAATTATATAATAGATAATTTACTTAATTAATTTCATTTATTTTTTAGGTCCATCTTGTATCAAAACATGGTAAATTAGAAAACATTCCATTAATTTCCAAAAACCAATTCATTTAATAGAAATAGAAATCATAGCTAAAAATTTAATTCACTTATTCATCAAAACATTTTTTTTACGAAGCACATTAAACTACCAAATTAATTTTCATCAAATATTAATATAAATTAGGATAATCATATTAATTGATAAATAAGTATTTTAAAATTATTAAATAATAAACCCTTTCATGAAAACATAAGTTTCTTAACTTATCAAACCATTTTTAACTTTATGATATTAAAAACCTATAGGTTTAAAGTTCAATTAAAAATCTTGACTTGAACTCCTTGAAAGTTATATTATAAATTTAGCTCATTAAATTCCATAGGATATTAAATTCATTTAACCAATCAAAACCATTTTACTATTCATAGTTGGACCATTTAATTAAATCTTTTATGTGTGTCAACTTATATCATTAATTTAGATTATGGAACCAATTAATAAAACACACATTTATTATCATGTCAAAGTCATCCAGCAAGCACCATAATTTTACATACCAAATTAGCTAGACTTAGAACACACAAAAGTGTCCATAAACATGAAAGAAACATGTTTGGGTCTTACACATTAAACCTAATCTAAAGTACACATTTTGGCAAGTCGGGTTCTCCATAGCAACAACCTCGGTCTCAACTCATGACATCACACATTACTTGATTTACCTACACCACAATATAAATAAGTAAGTTAAAGCTTAGTAAGTGTAGTTATGTATGCTTGCAAGTGAATTCATTTCCATGATTCTAAACACCTTTTCTATCCTCCCCATAAGAATGTGCACTCGATCATTCTCTTGTGAATCCTCTTTTCATATATCAAGGGTATACACCAAATCATTCCCTTTACATACTAAGAGTATTCACCAAATCATTCTCTTAGCATGCCCTCCTTTCAATGTACAAAAGTATTCACCGGATCATTCCCTTTTATATGCCTTACAAAGCGTATTCACTAAATTATTCTGTTTGTAGTCTTTTTCTTAATATCCATATAACCTTATTCTATATGCTTGCAAACATGCTCAATATTTTCATGACATAT